CCCCGGCCACCCACGCTTGCCACGGGGCCACCACGAGACTGGGATGCCCACAGCCCAGTCCTCCCGGCCTGGTGCCCGGCACTGGTGGCAGCCTCCACCCCCTGGTCCCCAGCTGGTTTTCCCTGCCTGCTTCCTGGCTCAGCACTTCGCTAGTGGTGATTCAGGCAGCGGTTGCCAAATTTGGTGCCTGGCGTTTCGGCCTCCCCATCTGTATTTCCAGCTGGAAGCTGCCAGGCAGTGCCGGCCAGAGGGAGCAGTGCATGGCAACGCTATGCCACTGGCATCACTGCACACCGGTACTGCCGGCCTGAGCCTGGAAAGGCTGCGCGATGTTGGGACAGGGCTGCGAAACCCACAGGGGGATGTCTCAGTGCCCGGTGTGGTGATGCCCTGGCCCCCAATCTGGGGGTGCTCCAGTCCTTGGAGTGGGGACACCCCACTCCCCAGTGTGAGGATGCTCTGGTTGCTGATGTAGGGATGCTTCAGTTCCTGGTGGGGGAACACTCCTGTCCCCAGTGGGGTGACACCCTGGTGCCCAGGGCAGAGCCCTATGTCCTCAAAATGGAGGAGCCCTGGACCCCAGTGTGGGGAATGTCCCTGGCCCTGGGGTGGAGTTGCCCTGGTCCCTCACACCGGGGAGCCAGGGATGGAGTTTGTGGGCACACATCCATATGGCATCTCTGCATCTCCTCAGCCATGGCTGCCCTCTACGTGGCTCTGCTCAGGGCCATCCCGAGGGCTCTCCCTGCTGCCCCTGGCTCTGGAGGCCAATGGGGTGGCAGCCAGGGAGGTGACAGCAATTGGGGCTGGATGACCACAGTGGTGATGCTCTCCCCTTTCCCTCCAGGCTCCTGCCATCCCGCTGAAGGTGTCCGTCACGCCTCGAGCTGGCAGCTGCACCCGGCCAGCAGTGCTCATCCTCCTGTGCACCCGCTGCTTTGCCACCATCACCTCGCCGTGCCAGGACCTGCTCGTCCGCACCGTGAGTGATACAGCCCCCCACATCGGGACCAACCATGCCCAGAGATGGGGTGACCCTGGAGGACACTGGTCCCCCATCCCTGGAGACGCTGCTCGTTGTGCTTCAGGGATGAGGGACACGCTTGGCTGCTGCTGGTGGCACAGAGCACGGGGCTGGCCAGGCAGGGAATGACGCAAAGGGCTGGAAAAAGCTCCCGTTTCCTCCGGCCGGCGGGAGGAAGGTCAGGGATGGGGTTTGGCTCCAGAGAGCTGAGCAGGGGCCGGGCGCTTTGTTAGCAAAATAAACCTCCTGCTTTGTTTGCAGCTAATAATAAAGTGGGCTGAGCTCCCCGCGTGCCGCTGGCCGCCCATGCCGCTCCCAGCCTGTGGCCCCAGAAACCCCTTATTCATCAGGGGTGATCCCCAGCCACAATGGAGCTGGGGCTCCGGAGATGCCCGCCTGGCTTAGCTTTACATCCACAGCCTTCATGCCAGGGAAAAGCCTTTCCGTGCTTTCCCCATGCCAGCCCAAGCCGGGGAGGGATGCGCCTTACCCCCTTCAACCCCGGTTCAGGCTGCCCCTCACCCTGCAGGATGCACACCTCGACCCCGGGACCACTGTGACACTGGGCCCTGACCTGCCTGTGGCCACCAGCAAGGGGCAGCTGCTGGCCTGGGCTGTGGGTGAATACAGGGGCATCACATCCTACAGCGAGCTGCGGGACCCCCGCTGGGTCCAGCTCCACCTCGGAGAAGGTGCGTGGGGCTGGGGACTGGCACTTGGCGGGGGGATAGGGTGGACAGTGATGCTCCCAAAGGGTGACAACCCATTGGGGCAAAGTACGATCCCAGGGAAGATGCTGCAGGGACCGGTGCCACCGGGACTGGGGCATCAGTGCTGGCCCTGAGCGTCTGTGTCCCCCCTGCCAAGCCTGGTTTGGCTTTGGTGACACCTCTGCCTCTGCAGACAGGGGCAGCCCCCCAGACTGCATTCCCCAGGAGCGCTTTGATGCCACCTCGCACCTGGAGACCGAGGTCTTCTTCCACGGGATGAAGGGCTGCTCGCTTGAGGATGCCCAGATCACCAGGGCTGCCCACATCATCCACCTGCAGCCTGAGCCCAGGTACCACGGTGTGGGTGGAGGGACCCCCAAGGGGGTGGGGGATTGGTGGGACAAAGAGCGGCACAGGTGGTGGGACAGACTTGGAGATGCTCAGAAAGGGACGGGGGTGTTTCCTAGGTAGAAACCCCCTATCCCAAGGGGGGCTATGGCATCTGCTGGCATGGAAGCCTTATGCTGGGGTGGGGGGGGGTCTTGTGGTTTCACAGATCCCCCATCATGGAGGTGGACCTGTCCCTGAGCTGTCCCGAGCCAGCCATGAGCAACCAGTTCCTCATCCTGCAGAGCCGGTCCAACCTCACCTGGTCTCTCTCCTTCAACAACTGCCACATCCAGTTCCTGGTAGGGCTGAGCAGGGTGTGCGTCCCCCACCACCTCCGCCAAAGGGGGCTGGTGGCATGGGGGGTGGCAGGAGGGCCCCTGGGGACACTGGGCATGGGGAGGTGGCAGTCCCCTTGCTGCAAGCCCTCCCAGCGGGGACAAACCCAGAAGCCACCCCTGAACATCCCCAGCTGTCCCTATTCCTACTTAGTTTTTTCATGCTGCCCCTCCACACCCCAATAGGTCTCTGGGAACTACAAGATTGAGCCTCTCTCCACACTGCCAATCCCCGGGGTGCTCCTGCCCGACACCGAGCGGGGCCTTGTCGCCAAAGCCTTCGAGAAGAACTACAGCACCATCGCCTCCTACTCCCTCATCCCAACCAGTGCCCGCATCAGCCTGGAGCTCCAGGAGCATGGTGAGGCCCCTGGAGCCATGGGTCTGAGTGGGTCTGGGGTCCTGCTGCCCCTACTCAACCCCCTGCATCTCTCCATCCCACAGAGGCGCTCAGGAGGGTGCCCCCAACGCCCACCCCCCCAGCCCCCACCGTTGACTCGCTGCCCCACGTGCTGCTGCTCATGCTCCAGCCCTGGAAGTGCACAGATGACACCATGGAGATCGTTATCGCCAGGTCCCATCTGGAGGTGAGGGGAGGGTGTGGGAGGGGTCCCAATGCTTGCCAGCATCACCCAGGAGGTTCGCATTTGTTCTGGGTGCTCAGGATGGGCAACACGGGGCCATCCCCAGCCAGAGGGTGACCACTGGGTGCTTTTCTCTCAGCCCATCAAGGACGTGGTGAACATCACCCTGCGGGACATCAACTGCCAGGCGGAGAAAAACGCCACTCACTTCATGTTGAAAACGCCCCTCAGCCACTGCGGCACCTCGCTGGAGGACAGGGGCCACGCCAACAATGAGGTGAGGGGGAAGCTGACCGGTGCGCTGCCACCAGCCCCACTGATGCCTGGTGGGGGCTTCTCCACTGGGACCTCCTTTTGCATGGCTGGAAACCCCCCTGCAGCCCAGGGCTGAGCCCCACGCCTGCGTGCTGGAGGAGATGGGGTGGTGTGGGTGACCCCCAGGCGGGACACCCTCCTTATCCTATCTCAGGGTGGGACCCCCCCCATCCCATCCATCACTGGAGACAATAGACACCCACGGTGGGGTCCACTTGGCTGACCCACCCTTCCCTACCTCCTCGCAGCTCATCCTCAACCTGGCCAAGGGCGCAGTGCTCCGGAGTGTGCGGGTAAGAGCCAAGTATCCCGGTGGGTTCATGATGGGACCACAGGAGTTGGGTGCTGGTGCCGCCACGGGTGCCAGGAGTGGCCTCAGCACCATCCCTGCTTGCAGGTGGCCTTCCAGTGCAAGATCCCACGGGAGCTCTTCCTGCGCCTCTTCCCCACTGCCGCCTTTGAGGCACCGCAGACGGAGCTGGAAGTCAACAAGGAGGCCTTTGTGCAGGTACCGCCGCCATTCGGCACCAGGGCTGGGGGGGATCCGGCCATCCCCAGACTGGTGACCCTGATGGTGTCCCCTTGTCCCCGTGGCAGGCGTCCATGCGGTGGGAGGACCCCCCGGCTGCCCTGCAGCTGAAGGAGTGCTGGCTGGCGGCGCCGGGGCGGGAGCCGGTGCTGCTGGTGCAGGGCGGCGAGGCACGGGGCACGGGGGTGGCTGTGCTGGAGGGCCCCCCCAGCAGCCGCGGGAGGAAGGTCTGGCGCTTCCGCTTCACCTACACTGTCCCCGAGGGTGGGCGCATCCCCTTCTCCGCCACCCTCAAGTGCAAGGCTGGCTTGCAGGTCAGTGTAAACCTCCTCCCACATCCCATGGTGACACCATGCTGGTCCCCACCATCAGTGATGGCAGCCTGGTGGGTTCATCCCCAAATGCTGAGCTCCATCACTCAGATGGGAGCAGCACTCCCAGTCCCCCAAAAGCCTGGGGGCTCCCAGCCCCATCCTCTGCCAATGGTGCAGGAGATGTAGAGGAGGGTCTACCCCCTCTCACCCCAACCTCCACCTCTGCAGAACAACACCATCTTCGAGAAGGTCCTGGAGGTGACGGTGAAGGGCAGCTGGCAGCCACCCAACAGTGAGTTTGGGGCAGAGGAGGGGGCCAGGGCGGGAAGGGAGGTGCTGGGGACACCCCTCCAGTGTGGTGGTGCTGATGGCCTCCTCCTCCTGCAGACCGGGGCCTGGGGCTGGCTGCTGTCCTGGGCATCACCTTCGGCGCCTTCCTCATCGGGGCGCTGCTCACCGCCGGGCTCTGGTACATCTACTCGCACACCCGTGAGTATCCACCGCCCCTGGGGACCCCCATGGTGGGATGGTGGGGGGACACCACGCACATGTCCCTTGTTGGGTTGCCCATGTGCCCCCTGAGGGCCCCAGGTGAGCCAGGTACCAGGCTGCTGCGTTGCTATCATCCATACAGCCCTCCTGGCGCTGCCACAGGGGAATGACCCTGCTTGGGCTGGCTGGGGCTCCCCAAAGTCCCCCCCATTGCCCTGGTGCCCCATGGTTCCCCCATGCCTGCCTCCATCCCGGCAGCTTGGGAAGGCTGAGGAGCAATCTGGGAGGGTTCCCATGGGGATAAGCCATGGCCTCCGCCGGCCGCCCTGAGTCTGGTTTCCCCTTGGTGTTCCTCCCTGGCCCCGTGGTGGGCGGCGTGAGCCAGGTCCCATCTCCACAC